AGTGACTGCGGAGGATTTCTGGAGCACCTCTCCCGAGAGGCCCAGGGGAAAGTGCTTTCTGTCCGTGGTAGGATGGAGGCACTGCCACAAGGCCGAGCTCCTCAGCACCTGACTCTGTGTCCCCAGAGGCTCCCGCAGGGTCCTTTTCTTGGAAGCCCTCCGCTCCCCCGTGGCCTCCTGCTCCATCACGGGCTTGTAAACAGTTCCAAAGACCCACAATATGCTGAGGGATGGACATCAAGTAACATATGCCTGCAATACACGGACTTCAGCATTAACAGGGAAGCTATTTCTTCTGAGAAAGAAAAAGGGAAAGAACAACGGTGTCTCTGGCAAAGTTCTGGCAGAATGCCACACCCAGCGAGGCTTCTACAGAGTTATTTTCCAAAACCATTCCCACCACTTTCATTGTTATTCCTGCTTTACATTCGGGATGAAGGCTAAGGGAAGAGAAGCAGGGTGAGACACCAAGCTGTCAGGGTTCTAAAGAAGGCTCTACTCCTGTTCCTTTTAAGGCCCAGTGCAACCCCGAAGGAGTCCACACTCACCCTGCCGCTTCTCTCCTGACTCCCACCTTCCCTTTCCCCTGACAAGACTCTAGAGTGTTTTCCCAGAAAGGTGATCCCATCTACCTAAGAGGCTAACACCAAGTCGGGCCTCATCCTCTGTTAGGCCCAGTGGCCATTCTCCCTTCAATGAAATTCAATTCATAGTTAATGTAGTGGGTGATTCCGGGTCCCCAAGACCTGTCACAACCCACAGGCCCAAGGGCCTCCCCTAAAATGGACCCCTCTTTTCTGGTGTCTCAGGGCACGACAGGTGCTCTTGGTAGCAAGGAGGGTAAAGATGGTTAAGACGATCCGAGCCTGGGATGGAGGTCTCCAGTGGTTCCAACCCCGAACACTCTAGGTCATGGTTCTGTTTATGCACCAGATACGGAGGTAGAGACAGAGGCCAATCGTGTCCAAATGGGACTTGATCCAGTTCAGTGCGCGGACAAGCTGTGTGGACACACTGGAGACCTCGGGAGGCCTCTTCCCTGCCGGTGGACTTGACGCCACCAAATCGCCCACTCACGGGACTGCCGGTGTCCCAGGACCCACCACTCAGAATCCCAAATGTCCTTGGAAATGACGTTTTCAGGACATCAGGGATCAGCTGGGGCTGTGGCTGAGGACTCTGCCGTACTCGGCTCAGCACGGCTGGGACTGAACTCCCCACCTCTCCCCTGCTTCCTTATACCACCTACCCTGAAGCCGTGAGGTTAACTCAATCCTCGTCCTCCTCCCCGGCCATCAGGCATGCCGCCCTCCCATCCTTAAGCCTCTCTTCCCTTATCTGCTCCTATCAGGCCTGCGTTCAGCCCCTCAAACCCTCATCTCTGGATATTTGCCAGGGCAACTGAGTTGGCCCCCTGCCCACGAGCCCTCGATCCACAAAGCCCTGTGTGTGCTGCTCCCAGGCGAACTCTCCTGATGTCCCTTTCATCACATTTAACTGCTTTTTAAAAAATATTTTATTTATTTATTTGACATAGAGATAGAAAGACAGTGAGAGAGAGAGAGCACAAGCAGGGGGAGGGGACAGGGAGAAGCAGGTTCTCCACTGAGCAGGAAGCGCGACGCGGGGCTCGATCCCAGGACCCTGGGATCATGACCTGAGCTGAAGGCAGACACTTCACGACAGAGCAACCTGGATGCCCCAAGTTTAACTGCTTCTTAATTTGGATCCCCTCCAAGAGAGCAAGACAATGACTTAGAATCAGCAGTCTATCCTAGGCAGGAGAGCCAGATGAGCCACTAAGGGTATATTAATGAATGGACACCAGTGTGGGCAGCCCTGCCTGGACACCACTGGGACCCTCCGGGCCTTCCTGTGGAACACATGGCACCAGGGAGTGGGGAGGCAGGGGGACCACCCCACCCACGTCCCTCCTTGGTTGCGGGTCACCCCTTAGGGCATAACCCCAATCCCACACTCCTGCCCAGCCTGCACTGGGGCTGAGCAAATTGGCACCCTCCAGGAGGTCTCTTGAAGACAAGAACACAGAGATCAGCGGTGGCGGGGAGCGGAGCTGTCCCACAGGGCCCCACGAACACTGGGTAGCCACGGGGGCAAGGGCAGGGCAGGGCATCAGCTGTGTCCGCAGCAGCTTCCTGGCACCTTTAGGACGAAGTCCTCACTCTCTCAGGCTGCCTTCTGGGTAGACCTGCCAGGTAAGAGGCAGGACGCCCGGTTCAATTGGGATCTCAGCTAACAGTGGGCGATTTTTTACTGTACGTTTTCCCAAAGGGTCCACGGGACATCCATACACGAAAAGTTACCCATCGTTTATCTAAAATCCTACTTTAACTGGTCGTTCAGTATTTTTATTTGCTACACCTGGCAACCTTGCTTCAGAGTCCTCCTTGATCAGGCCTTGGCCTGTTTTTGAGAACGCTGATTCTGAAACCCTTTCTTCCCCGAGAAGGGGCTCCGCGCTGTGCCTGAAAGCAGTCATCCAACCCCCAGCTCAGGGAGGTGCTCAAGCTGGTCCCCTGGCGGGAGTGACCCAGGTTCTCACACGTGTCTCTGTCCCGCCCACTGGCTCTGGGTCTGATTCTCTGCAAACACTCAGTCCGCTGTCACCTCTCCCACTGTCCCCTCTGAAAGCAGGTGCCACCAGCACCGGTCATCTGATGCCCTTGGGACATGTGCTAGCATTTGCCTGAACACCTTATTTTCCCAGCTAGAGCACAGCTCTCACCTAGGTCAGCACAGATCAACAGGTTGTTACTAGGTGGTCAGTGACAAGACCTCCCAGTCCCACCGGCAAAAGCAAGTCCTATAAGGAGTGAGACAGAGCCCCTCTCTTGCTCCCCTAGATCTCACCATCAACCAGAGCACTACACGCATGCTGTGGAACACGTGAGTGAACAGCACTTTCAGCAAGGGATGGAACATGCCAGAAGGTTGTTTAAAGCAGCCTAAATCATGTCCAGCGAGCAAGAAGGGGGGTCAGATATTCCAGCTCCATCATGGCCCTTCCGTTCTCACAGTGTGGCCTCTTAGCCCTTTTCTGGGTTCTGGATTTTGGACCACACGAACCACTAGCAGCAACTCTCCAGTGACCCCGAGGACACACCGTGCAGTCGGCCTCAGTACAATAGGACCTGACACTGGCAGGTGTCCCTTTCTTTTCTCCATGTCTCTCTCTCTCTCTCTTTTTAAAGATTTTATTTATTTGACAGACAGAGATCACAAGCAGGCAGAGAGGCAGACAGAGAGAGGGGGAAGCAGGCTCCCCGCTGAGCAGAGAGCCCCATGTGGGGCTTGACTGAAGGCAGAGGCTTAACCCACTGAGCTCCCCAGGCGTCCCTCCATGCCTCTCCTCTTAAAACCAGTTGCTCTGATGTCAACATGATAGCCATACGTGTTTATAATACTTTAAATTTGCAAGCGCTTTCCCATGACTTATTTTATTTCAACATCACTCTCAGGTAGGCAAAGCAAATTATCTCTGACAGATGGGAGAAAGAGAGTGGTAAAGGGCTCACTGAATGGATGGATGGGCGCTCCAGGGAGACTGGTAATACCCTTGTCTAAGTTTTCATTTACAAATACAGCTGAAAAGTCTCATGTTAGCCATGTAAACAAGAATAATCCATTCTAAAATGGGGTTTTTACTCCTGCATATTTGGGTCACCACCCAGCTGGCCCCGGAGCACCAGGTTACCTGCCCCCTGAGCTTTCAGCAGCAGAGGCAGGGCTGGCTCCCTCCACCACCCACAGACCTTCTCCATCCGAGTGTGGGCAAGGGAAAGGAGCTGCCTTCAACAAACGCTTAAGGAAGGGGCCTCGTGGGGTTTGCTGGGGAAGTGAGTGGCAAGCAGCCCCACCCCAATCCTGCCCAGTCTGCAGCAGGCCTCTGAGGGTGGGACTCAATAGAGTGGGACTCAACCCTGCACTCCCTCCCTGTGCCTAGGACCAGTCATCACCACAGGGAGAACAAAATCACGTTCTTTCTGGAGCCCTCTGCTCTTTGCATATGCGTGTGTCTGGGCGCGTGCATCTGCGGGTACGTGTGCTTGCACAAACATCCACTTGGTTGGTGGAGGCCAGGGGCGTGACTCAGTTGGGGGTTTCTTTCGGGTGCAGGTAAGGGCCGTGCTGCACGTCCTGCTACCTGACTTGTCCACAGGAAAGCTGGGGAAGGCCAAGGCTACTTGGGTAGGCAAACCCTAGGGTGGGCGCAAGACCCCGCTGGGCGCTCCCTGCCCGGAATGGAGGCGCTCCCTGCCCGGGATGGACAAAGTCGAGCCGCAGACCGATCGATGTCGCCAAAGTCCGGGCGCGGGCTGCCGGCGTGGCCGGGGCTGAAGTTCGCAGCAGCTCCGCGTGTATTAGCGAATCCCAAGTCCCCGGTAGCCCGAAATGTTCCCCCCAGGGGTGGAGGGAGGGAGCAGGCAAAAGGAGCGGCTGCAGAGCAGCTCCCCGCCCCGGGCCCCGGCACACCCCGAGGGGAATTGGGGAGGAGGAAGGTCCATTGGCGGGGGGACAGCTACACAGCCACACACATCCACACCCCCCCAATACACACCCGCCTGCTGTCCCCGCCCTCCGCCCCTCCCCTGCGTCCCCGGCCGCCGCGCGCGGCTCCACCTCTCCCGAGTGCAGTCCACACCGTCCTTTTCAACAAAACAACACTACGCACCGCCCCCAGCACCCGCACCGGGCGGGATCCGGGGCAACGCCCAGCCCGCCACCAGCCGCGCCCCGCGCCCCCTCCCGCGCCCCCGCTGCAGTCGGTCGCCGAGTCCCGGCCGCACGCCGCTGGGGAGAGAGATGGAGCCTAGCTCGGCCGCCCAGCTCGACCCTGCGCCGCCACCCATCCCCGAGCGCCCGAAGTGACAGGAGGGGCACGCACGGCGCGCGCGGGGCGTCCCGCGTTAACCGCTTCGGCGCCGGGGTCAACCGCGACGCGAGGGTGGGGAGCTGGGGACCGCGCTGCGGGCACTCACCGGGATGTGCACTCGCAGCGAACGCCTCTTCTGGCTGGGGATTTTTTTGCCGCCGCTCCCGCCGGGGCTGGAAACGTCTTTCTTCTTCTTGGTGTCCATGGCCGCGCTTCCCATAACTTTCACCAGAAGTTAATTCCGGGTGACTCGTTCCTGCAGTTCGGTCCTCTCCTTCCCGGCCCGGCCCCTGCTGCCGGCCTCCAGCCGCGAGCTCTTTATTATCCTCCGTCCACCCCGAAGACACCGCTTGGGGACTTCCGCGGGGAGGGAAGGTGGCGCAGGTACCTCGGGCCGCCGCCGCCGGGGACGGATGGCGGTCGGCGTGGGCGCGGAGTTCACGTGTCCTCTTCCTCCTTAGAGCTCAGCGATGCAAAATTAAAGCCAGAGGCCGTACAGGCTCTGGTGTCTCTCCCGCTTACGCGTGGCAGAGGTCCCCCGCCGGGTGACAAAGTTTTCTTCCTTTTGCGAAGCGAAGCAGCATTTTCCACCCTCTCAGCTCCTCCCACGGATTCCCAGAGGTAATCCGCAAGGCAGGTGCACGGAAGGACAGTAATCTGGGAAACAACCCTCCGTGCCTGCGCCCAAGCGGACCGTCTGGCCAGAGCGAGACAGTTTGTATGTAAATATAATCCTCGGCTGCAGAATGAACCAGCCCGGAGTCTGGAGCTCGGCCCGTCCCCCCGCCGGGCGAGAGGGGAGGCGGGAGGGGGAGGCGCAAACGCGAACGCCCAGGCAATTGGGCTCCCGCTCGGCTGCGCGCCGGGGTTCCGGCGGCGGCTCGGCTGGCCGGGCCCGGCCAGCCCGAGGGCGCGCCCGCTGCGTCCCTCCGCCGCGCCGCGTCCCGGGGACAGGGAGCCGGCAGCGAGGGGCGGCGCGGCCGGGACGCAGGCTCGGCGAGCGCGGGGCGGTGGAAGGCCGCGTGCGCTGAACAGGAAGTGCACGGCGCACGCCGCTCGCCGGCTCGCCACGCCGCCCCGAGCCGCCCCCGGGTCGCCGCACGAGGTCGCCTGCCCTGCGGGCGGGGTCCTCCCTCCCCTGCGGCCGCGGCGACGCGGGACTCGCCGGGAGCCCATTTGTGATGCGTCTCGTGGCTCCCGCGTCTTCGTCTACGCCCGGCCCCGGGCAACACGCCCCCGCGCCCTAGCCCGCCGCCCCCGCAGCGGCGGAAGCCCCGGCTCGCGTGGGGATGTGCGCTGACCCGCGCCTGCTTCCGGGGAAGCGGCGGCCCCGGACCGTCTCCGCGCGCCGTGCGGACCCCAGCGCGCCCGGAGCTCGGTCGGTGTTGCGGGGAGTGCGGCTGGTCACAGCCCGCCCCGAACCGCCGCCACACCCGGCTCCTCCCAGGTTCCCCCGGGGCTGCGCAGCGGAGCAGCGGGAAGTGCGGGCGCAGGGTCCGCAGCCCCGCGCCGCAGAAGACGCGGAGTTCCCAGGACTGCGGGAAGCAAGGGGTGCGGAGAACCCTGGAACCCCCGGCGAGGCTTCCACGTGCCACCGCGTCGCCGCCCTGGCGCGTCCATAGCCCGGGCCCGGGGGACTTGGGGGGTGGCGTTCCCTTTCCGAGCGCCCCAGGATGGCGCGACCTTGGTTCCCGGCTGGAAGTGGGGTGAATGCTCGGTCGGGAGACGCCTCCTTTCCCGCTCTAGGTCCTGAGGACGTAGTGACCCCAGAAGTCACTGGAGCGCCCTGAATGCTGACGTCAGCTCCGCCTCTCGCTCTAATCAGAGAAAGAACGTGACGGGCCGGCTTTAACTCCTGTCCAGGTGTGGAGATTTAAGGAGTCCCCTCCTCGCAGGAGGGGGGATTAGCCGGCCCCGGGGACACCTCTTAGGTGGTGCCTCCCACCCAGCCAGAAGCCAAGGGTTTCAGCCATCTTTCCCGGTTCCTTCCAACCCTCCTTCTGTCATCTGGTGTGAATCCCCTGCAGTCTGGGTGGTTCCTGGTTCCTAGGGATTTGTATCGTCCTTCTCTTTCTCCCCTGCTCTCCAATCCAGAACGGAGCCAGACTGGGAAATCCTGGAGCATTTCCTTGCTTGACCAAAGGTAGAGATGCTCTGGAGGGGACTAGTCTGGGTTCAAAAACCAGGTAAACATTCTGGTTCCACAGGTGTGGAATTTCACACTTTGACCTTTTCTGACTGGCTGGTGGAGGGGGGCATGAGCCTTCATTAGTACCCTAAATGCTGGAAACACTGCTTAGTAGCAGAAAAGGAGGTGGGGGGGGGGCGTTACCTTGCCACCAAGGGAGCCCACTCTTACCTGCTCAAAATGACTCCCCAGCTGTCCCTTAAATTTCATCTCTTTAGCTCAGCATTTTAATCCCTGTCACAGTAATAATTTTCCAGGGCATGGAAATCATCCCATTTGATGAGAACTGACTTGGGAAGGGAGGAGGGAGAGGTGGGAAGGAGCAAGGAGACAGGAAGGGAAGTCAGCAAGAACCAGGAGGGAGGGTTCAGAATCCGGAAGCCCTGGGTTAATGCTCAGGCTAAAAGCTTTGTCAGGGGCCTGTCCTGGCTAATGGGCAGTGGTGAGAAATTCTAATAGGTTCTTTTGTCAGTTGCTTTGTGCAAATACACCCAATCATTCATTAATAAAATTTATGTGTTCTCTGAGTTTATTTTGCTGGAGTGCAGACTTCAGTGCCTGGGGATCCTAAATTAAAATGTTTTACTGTAGGGGCGCCTGGGTGGCTCAGTCGGTTAAGCTTAAGGGTCTGCCTTTGGCTCAGGTCATGATCCCATGGATGGAACCCACATGGGGCTCCCTGCTCAGCGGGCTCCCTGATTTTCATTCTCCCTCTGCCACTCTGCCTGCTTGTCCTCTCTCTCTCTTTCTCTCTCTATCAAATAAATAAGCAAAATCTTAAAAAAAAAATAAAGTTTTACCGTATTGTCTACGTTTTAAGAGCCTTTTGTTGTTGTTACATATGTTAATAGTTCTGAGAGCTGGGTGTTTTTTATAGGCCTTGCCAAAGAAGAAGCTTACAGACTTTTTTTTTAACCTTCTGAAAAGATATTAATAAATTGATCCTATATCTTCTAATCAGTGGAGTCTTAGTATTGAGTTTTTGTGGTGGTTTTGCTTTACGATGCCTTCCGAACCCCATCTTCGCCTCCATCTCGCTGCACACAGCTCAGCCAGTGGCGTGCCAAGCAACTGTGTCCATATGATGACCCTTGCCCGGATTGTCTCTGAAGGCACTGACCTATGACTCCCTTCTCAAAAATAATGCAACACAAGCTATGCTGAACACAGTATCAAAATTTAAAAATTTGAAAAACTTAACTGACTTTTCCTTTTGCTCAGGACAACAGCGTTACTGATCCTGTGTTTAAAAAAAATTCTGACTTTGGGGAGCATAAGATAAAGTTTGTATACATAAAAGTCTACAGATTTTATATATATATATATATATATATATGTATAACAAGCTTATATACATAACTATATGTAAGGTTTATATGTGATCTATATAAGCTTTGTACATGAAAGTGGAAGATGATGTGTGAGTGTATCGTGGGCTATGTATGCAGTGAAGCTAGCACATGGGGTCTGAGTAAAGTGTCGGGTCACCAAATATCTGTGTGGTCCTCTCCATTTTCCAGTGCTCTGGCGGTTAGACTAAGAATGTGTAATTAATTCTGGCCAATGACATGTGAGTAGATTTAATGTGCATTATTTCTGCATTAGGCAGAGTCCGTATGCCTCCATCACTTTTCCTCCACTGCCGTCATTAGAGGCCACATGTTCCAAATGGTGTCCAGTAAGAAAGGGGAAGGCAACTTACTTCTGACTTGATCAACGTGGGTAAAGTCACTGACACTGATAATTATTTGTTACCACAGTGTCGCCTTGCCTATAAAAAATAATTGCATTGAGATATGACTTATCATGATAGAGTTTTTTGGTGCCCCCTTAGAATTTTACCCAGAGGCATCCGCCTGACCCTGGTGTGGCCCTGTCCTTTTGACGATGGAAGGATGAGAAGTGGAGGCTGGCCAGGACCCTGGGGGGCCGAGGGAAGCACCTTAAAGGCTCCAAGAGTGTGACTTGAGTCCTACCCCAGGGCTGCCATTGATCTGCTCTGTAACTGTGAGCAACACACTTCTTTCTCCCTTCTGCAAGAGAATCTTCTGAAGATTTCTAAGGCCTCTTTAACAGGGAGCTTGTATTTTCTCTTCTTTGTATATATCGCACATCTTTGTTAATTTTATTGCTCTGGTAATCCTTTTTTTATTTAGCTTTTCAGGAGTACCCCTGCACAATGAATTGAAAATTAAAAACAGAAAGCAAACTAAAGGCCCCTAGTCCTTCACCACAGATGGCTCAGAACAGTGCCTCTCAGGGAAAGGGGGCTTGTGGAAGATGTTTCCATCGGGGCCTCGCTTGTGCAGGCTATTAATAATGAGACGTACTGATCGATATACAGCACCTACTAAGAGCCAACGCTAGGGCGTTTGTAGGCTTGTACCTCTACGGGAGGAGATGCTCTTCACCCCATTTCAAACCGCACATGTGTTTGTGTAATTGCTGTTCCAAAATTTTTTCTATTAAAATCCCCTCGAACTCTCAGAGACTTTTACAGAGGAGGGAAACGGAGACCAGCTGTCAGAATGTGCTTTGCGGTCTCTTTAACTTCTATCTATTGATTTTAATTCTCAGGGCTTTCTGGAAAGAAACTAAACAGCATGGCCCCCTTTGCTTTTAAAAGCTTCGTGCGCGGCTAGCAATACTATCTAGGAAATTCCTTCAGGGTGACCTTGGAGAGACACCGACATCTTAGCTGAGTAGGTCTGTGTAATTAGGAAACCGGTCACTCAGTTCTGTGCAGAAAGCTCCTCTTGGAAAAATGAAACAGGGCCTGGACTGAGGATTCTCTGCGAATGCTTTGCTAATGCGTTGGATACCAGAGAAGTGCGTCTTGTCATCTTATCATGAAAACCAGGGCTAAGGGTCACGTTCAGATTTTTATTTTCCTTTAAACACGGGCACCGATTATGTAAGCCTGGGAAAGCTTTTGCTCCCTGGTGCAAAGGAGGCCACTAATATCAGTTCAAGGATAGAGCCGTAGGTGCACCCAGGACCAGTGGGGAGGGCTGCTTTGGGGCAGTCTATCTCTTGACAACCTTTTCCTGCGGGGGACCCACACAAGCTGCCTCCTTTCTCTGTGTTACGGATGACACTTCATCCAAAATGCCAGTGAACTACGGGTCGTCCTGCTCCCGCAATCCCCCAAGTACTTCAAATTAAGTTAAAGGTAAGCTCTGTGGCAATGTTCTCCCAAAGGACGGACTTGCTGTTCACATATTTCTCTAGAGAGCAGCTGTGCCTTGACGGGCTCTGTGCCGAAACACCCACTCAGCAGTTCTAAAGAATGACAGACTCAGCAGGCAGGATACGTGTGACCCACAGCACTGTGCAGCGGAGAGGCGTCTGTTTGCTAAATAAAAGAATAGGTAATCCCAGCAATTATGTCCCCTTCCTTGACTAAGGGTTGTGGTCACGTAAACAGCATTAGCTGGGAATGAAGTCTTGGGTTCTGCCGATGGCTGCTTTCATAACTGCTTTACAGAGTTCCATGTGACTTTTGTTCTGGTGACCAACGTTTCCTCTCACCCAGGGAGTGGGTTTGGACTCCCTGGGCTGCAGAGTTTGACTAAAGGTCTGTGTATGTTGGTTAGTCCCGAGCATTGAATGCATGATATGCATACAGATCAACCCAGGGAAATTGCAAATACCCTATTATCGGAATATGGCTCAGGACTGATTTCTGACCTCCCACTCAACTTATTTGGGGCGTGATAAAATAATGCAAATTACTGATAGCAATTTCCCAAACAAAGAAAATTTCTTAGTCAATTGTACTAGCCCCAAAGTTCACATACTACAGTGCAAATGTGAACATGAACTCACATGAGACACCTCTCTTAACCATTTGCTCGTGTAACTCACAGCTGGGATCCAGAACTGGGATCCATCCAGAATGCCAGATAGGGGTTTTTTGTTTTGTTTTGTTTTGTTTTGTTTTGTTTTAACAAGACTGCAGAAGAAGCACATTTACAGTGCCTTAGGACTGGCTGTGTTTGGAGAGTGGAGCTCCAGTGTGTGCCCTGGATTTTCAGGTGTGTTACAGACATGACTCTTGACATCCATTCATCGCCGCAGATGCGGTTTCCATCCTGACTCAGAGAAAGCGGTGTCCCTTCCAGAGGGCTCAGCCACACCTGGAACTAAAAACCCGTGCACAGACTTGCCAGTGTCTCTCCCTGTCCTTGAACCTTAGCACTTCACATCGCAATCAATAAATGCCTGTTTTGTACAGAGACAGAGCCCACGAGAGGCTCAGTTCAGGGCTCTGGTTGTGCAGGGAGGCTGTCAAGGACACGGTGATTTTTGACAGTCCTCCTTATGCCATGTGGGTCAAAAAGGTATTTTATTAGATGTTCCTAAATATAACTGCATAGAGTTGCATGAGGTCTTGGGAGAGAATGGGGAGAGAGAAACTCCTTGCCGTGGGCTTGCAGAAGCTCATTTTAAATCACTGCAACACAAGCTCCCAGTGCACCATTGTGCAAAAGGACTTACCTTGGCTTTTGGGGTTTTCTCCCTATCCCTACTCATTGTAGCATTTTACCCTCTAGGTGAAAAAGTGAAGCATAATTATAGAGTTCATTGTTCTTTGAGCAGCCTGGAGGAACATTTTCCTGTCCTTGTAACTTATTCACACGCGATGCAAGGGGTTCTGAGAATCTTGTGGAAGTGGATACAGGGTTTCTCGGGGCAACCAGAAGGGCCTTGTGGGGAGCACAGGCTCAGGCGTGGGGCTCACTGCTAATATGGAGCGCTCAGGAGACTCTGCTCACGCCGGTCAGCACCGAGGCCAGCAAACCGTCCAGTCCTGTGGCTGGGCTGTGAGCACAGCAACTTCGGCCGGGGCTGCAACCAGAATTTGCATCCTGGTAGGGTCATTGGGTCCAAGGCTTTCCTTTGTCTTTGCAGCCTTCAGAAACTCACAAAATTTGTTCACCAAGAGCAGAGACAGCTAGAGAACTGGGTCATTGTAACCACTCCCTCCTGAGAGACTGGTTTTTCAACCTGTCAAGATTTGTTCTCTTGTGGAGGTGGGGTGGTCAATTCCTCTGCCCTTAAATCCAGTCTCTGTCCCTCCCTGCTCTGTGTTGCGCCCCCCACCCCAGCCCCGGAACTGCCATCCCAGGACCTTTAGCCAACTGATCCCACTTCGTGTCTGGCTGGGTTTGGCCAGAGGGGGGATTAGTAGGGGAGACTGTGGAGTGTGGGAGCAGGAGGGCGCCTGGGGGTTATCTTGGCTTGTTCTGCCTTGGGGAGCATTTTTTTCCTCTGCGGCTCTAGCCACACTAGCCAGGCCCTCCCTCAGTGGCTGCCAGGCTGCCCTGACTGTGGTCCCAGAGCCCAGGGGACATCTAAGTGGAAACCCCGGGTGGGGGGCATGAAGGAGGGAACCAGGTGGGCAGCTGTGGGGGAGGATTCTAGGACAGGTGAGGAGGGCAGTGTGGCTGGGGGTGGCAGGAGGACATGTGGGGATGGTGTTGGGAACAACAGCATGGCATGATCCGGCTTCCATTCTGACGGA